GGCGAAACGCGAACTCGTGGTTACAAGAACCTTGAAATGCTGCTAGAAGATGGCGAAACGCGAACTCGTGACTGCAAGAACCTTGAAATCAAGAATTTCATGTACCCGACACCACTGCATCCGTTTTGTGAGCCCGCGTTCCTTCCCCCACATTACCCGAGACCACCGTGCGCACCTAGTTTCATCAAATGGAGAACGCTTCGCACACTACCAACACATTTCTTACTTTCTTGAAATTCCTTGTATGTATACACGCGGGAAATCCTAGGGTGCCTCCTCGGGTTTTGGCCTCTTGGCCAAAACTCTGCGGGGGTAACTATTGGAAGTTTTAACATCACTTCTAAAAATGTAAACAATTGGATATGGTATAACTTGTAAATGTTTTTGTAATCTTATGTAATGAGGATGCTAATGTAAAGCTAACAACGTTCAGTCGCATGCAGTCCGAAATTTAGCGAAATTTGTGACCAAATTCATTGTTCGTCTGTGAGACAGCCGCCCTTGTCGAAAGGAAAATTGGCAGTGTTGTCTGTCGGGAAGGGCGGCTGTAACACAGGCGAAGTATTTTTTTGCAAATGTTGTTGTTGTTATTAAATGTTTATAGTGGTCGATGTGCTTAGCTACAACTAGCTAGTTCTCAGGCATTCCACTTAAACTGAAAGAAAGAAACCTTTCAAAATATGCAAATATACAGCTTAAAACAGAGCTAAACATCCAGAGTGTTGTCATTGTAATGCTTTCAGTAGGAAACTTAGAGCTAATTTGAATAAAATTTCGGGCTGTAGTTTTGTACTCATGTTCAAGTTCACAAAGTTGTAGGTGTTTTAAAATACATGTACGTGAAATGACTTTCAATTTGGTCATTCCAGGTTGCATTTAATATGATCTATAAGAATTTTTTATGATATCTCTCTGTTACTAAGTACGCTGTGAGTGGTCAGTTTAGCGGGCCCTACCCAACTGTACGGCTGGAATGGAGTGTTCCGCCAGTCACTGGGTCGAGTACATGTGCGCAAAACCGTGCGCTAGTGTTCATCGTATTGCTCGCGGGCAACAGGGAATCTTCTGTGTTAAGGAAAAACGTTAACGTAACATTGTGCTGGTTTGAATATAACCCAGCCATTTTGTTTGTAGAATAATCTTCTGTCTTGTCAGCTGAATTGGCGATTTAAAATTCGCCGCAATGGAGAACTTTAAAGTGCCTAATATTTTTCTCTGTTTTCTTTTCACGTACCAAAGGTTTGGAATCTTATTTTACGTTTCGCGCACTACCTCGTTACTGATGTGTGAAATCGAAACAGGTTCGTTTGGTCTGAAGTCAGTATTACGCGTTGTCCCTCCAGACCAGGGCATTAATATGCATATATCGAAAATCTGTAACCCAATGTGTGTCACGTTAAAACAAACAAACAAACAAACAAACAAACAAACAAACAACCAAGCAAACAAACCTTCCATGCCGGCTCCCTTTGATATACAAGAAAAGAAATGTAAAACGCCCATTAAGAAAATATTGCTCTGGAACCTCTATTTTCATACACCGTTTGAAAGACTATGTTGTTGCTTATCTATTGTTGTGAGAACTAATTAACTTCTGTTTAGATCGCAATGATGTTATAGGTTGTTATACTTAGTTGCGCAAGGTCCATCTTTACACCAGTGTTTGGAAAGGAAAAATACATCTTTTTTGTTTCATAAGAATCAGTGTTTTATAAGAATATTGAGGCTGAAATTGGCAACATTTTAAGAATAAGTTAAGAATGCCAATACAGAGACTTTCTTAACAACAATTTTTTTGTTTTTGATGGAAAATAAAACACAACAAAGTACATAGTGTTTTTAATGATATTTATAATATTTCTCTATTACTACGTGCGCTGTGATTGGTCAATTTACTCGGTTAAACAATAAGAATATCCCGCCT